CTCCGATAGACACCCATTCATTTTTAACAACACAAAGCTACCACTTATCAACTCCCTATGAACAACTTAAGAAATACCTCATACACCATGGCAACTGCCCAGCAGTAATTTAGCAATGGCATAGCAAGTGCCTAGCAACACCTTAGCAACAACTTGGGATACCACAGTAATCGCTGTGCAACTATTCTGTGTTTTTCTTTCAGTAATTGCAGGTTTCTAGTATTGAATGTATTTAAGTTTTAAACATCATGACCCCTGGTTCATATCACTGCCACTGTAAAGAAGTACAAGTTGGTAAGTTTATCGTCAGTGAACCCTTTTGCATCAAACTACTCAATGACTTTGTTAACATCTCCACCACTGAATTCTGCAGAAATCTGAAAGAATCAGTGGAATTCCCCTTTAATAACATCCTTCTCCTAAAAAGTTATCATACTGGAGATATATCACATATCCTAATATGCCTGGCAAATCCCTCATGTGCTTATCCTACACTATCCTGCACTATATCCTAACGCACAGAGTTCAATCCTAGTGAACCTTAGATCAGCTCTGTTACTCTCTGAGACCTGAAACATATGGACTGTCTGAGACTCCCCTACCCCCCCCACCCCTCCTCTGATAGAGCATGGCAATGCACAGGTGCTCCGTTAACCCGCAGTGCCCTGTCCCTCCGAGCCGCTGACATCCTTCATCACGGAAGGCTCCAGCACCTTCAGCATCGCCCGCTGCGCTCTGCATGACTATGAATCTCCAGCACTGGAGGCAGGCAGGAAGCTAGATTAGATAGGGATTTCTTTTTTTTTTTTCCTCCATCACACACAATTTCACAGGTGGAAAGGGTGGTGAAGGAGGCAGGTGAACATATCGCTCTGCATGAAGCAGGCCCCATTGCATGAATTTTTCCAGCCTGACTGCCGGCCACTGTTTGGGAAAGTTTCACCTCACCCCTGCGCTGAGGCTGGAGAATATGGATTGAATATTTCATCATATTCTCTTCTCAGAGTGGACTTGAGGACTATAGATTTTCCAAGAGAGAGAAAAAAAAAACAACAGAGAGAAAAACTCATACTGGAATCTCAGGGTAAGCCATTTAGGCCGAATCCTGATTTTGATAAGGGGCAATTCTGCCAATTTGTCAAATAATCTGCATAATTCAATGGCTGAGATGTAAACATTCATTCAAAGTCATTCAGACTTGGTTTGATTTGGAATGTTTCATTGTAGAGAAATCTTATCTCTTTACAGTGGTGGTGATAGGAACTAGAGGTTGCACGTATAACCAGTTTATTTTCTATAAAAAATGACCACTGAACCTACAGGAGTCTTATATGCAGTATTGATGATGATAAAATAGTGATATATCTGAAAAATAAGTTTTCTTTGGGGACTATTTTGTCTTGCAAAGCCCTGCATGTATCCCTCCACCGTGCATGAATTTTACAAATATACTTTAGGCTAAAAAGTTCGCAAAGTCTGCCACTTGCTCCACGTTACAGAAGGGGTGCAAAGCTGCACCATCTTCCATCGAAAGAAATATTTGTTGTTTTTGTTGTTATTGATGTTGTTGTTTAGTTTAATATTTGTGTGTGTGTGCTGATTTTGCTTTGCTGTGTTAGGTTTAGTGGGTTTAGGGTTGTGGGTCTACCACAGAGAGAAATCATGTGGCCAGAAGTGACCATTCTCACTGTTCTGGCTGTTTTTCGGTGGCCTTTTCTGTTTTGTTCAATCTAAGAGCAGAAATAATGGCTTCCTCTGGTTCTTCTTAGCCAAAATGCACCACTATCATAAAACAATGTATGATCTTCATTTAAAAATCTTATCCTACAGCATCTTATCTTAAGTAAGGAAATCTTAACAGCTCAACTGTCATGTCTGTTACTTAGCAACTAACCATATGTGCACAGCTAAAATGCGAACACATAATTAAAATAATCAAGTTAGTTAGCTGCCATTGCTGATGTAAAAAGGTCAAACAAAACTAAAGCACGATAAACTTTAAGTTATGAATGTTGTGACGTGCCCCCTGCTGTTTATTAGAGCGATGTCACTCCCCAGTTTCGGTTTCAGTTTCCCAAATGCTTTAGCTGACTGCGCTAACATTATTCCTTCTAATAAACAGACACGTCTCCTCAGTATTCACCACCATCACTGTAATATTTTGTCTGATGAGTTTTCATCAACATTAACAAAAGAAGGTAATAAGAGGGGCTGGTGGAGATCGTGTCTGCTAAAAAGAAAAACTCATAAGTCAAAGCACCATTTTTAAGGTAAAAAAGTTTCGTCATTATGTCAGTTATAGTGAACACTGCTGCCTGGCCAGGGATGCTGGAAATGGAGTTGCTGAGGGGGCTGCAGCAGCCCCGATTTCAGGATTGCAACTGCTATAAATATAACAACAATACATTCTGAACTTCATAATAGATTGTGCGCAGTATGGATCCATGGGTGAGTTTTTAGTTGTATATTTTTAAAATATGCAGTAGCTGCATTGTTTAGGTGAACGCCATATTTTCGTTACAATGAGCTGATAACTGCTGGTCACTTTGGAGGTGTATTGACACAACACACACAGGTTGAAGTGTAAAGAGAGAAAGTGTAGGTTAGTTCTGAGCCCCAAAGCAACCTAAAGCTGAAGTTTGAAAAATCATCTAAGGTTATAATGAAGTTCATTCTTTATTAACAACCATTTCTCCTGCTCAAAGTGCCAGGCTGTTTTCAAAACACTGATTGGTCACCGCTTATCTCTTTTGCATGCACATATATTGTTGTCTCTCGCATCATTATAGCACGTTATTGTAGTATGTTCTGTTTGATGTAAATTAGCAAAAAAGAAAAAAGAAAAAAGGCAAATCGATTTGCATGACAACATCATTCACACTACATATACAGGGTGATTCAAAAACATTCATCTGATTTCTAAATGATTTATTTCACTTGTAAATCATTACAGAACAATGCAGTAAACTGTAAATGGTTCAAATGAGCATAAAGTTTATTATGTAATTGTACAAGGTCTCAATATGAACCTCCTCCAGCTGTACAGACAACATCAACGCCATAGTCAAACTCATCCCAAACTGGATTGAGCATGTCGGGTGTCGCTGCACTCACGGCTCTTTCAGTGCGATTTTGGAGATCATCCAGTGTTGTGGAACCAACGACGAATGCTCTGAGCTGTTGGAGGTTCACTGACAATGAAAACGCTGCACAGTTATGACAGATTCACTCTTATTGAAGTGGAGAACGCAAAACGCTTTCTGCTCAGGGGTCGCCACCTCCTCACAAACTGAAGGGAGCCATCTTCCACTGACAGTCAGAAACTCTATGACACCCTCTTTCAATTAGAGTGTGATTGGTTCCCAGGCGCCTCAGGGTTGTAAAATATGGCGCTTTGAAATTGGATAAATCTTTTCGAATCACCCTGTATTGCTTAAAATTTCAGCACACCCAACTTAGCAGAACTTCCTGAGTCCCTGTGCCTGTCACTGCATACAACAACAGAAACAGACAGTTAAAACAGAAGACTTCTCTGGGGTTGTCTTAAAGTTAGGACAGTATTTAGGCAGCTTTGTCTAGTTAGGATGTTTCTGTGACGCTATTTTCTTGTCTGGACTTAGTATAAGATTATAAACTTAAAAAGTGTTGTTCTGCCTTGCTGAAAAAGGATCATAAGAAACCATTAGGATTAAAACCCTAATGGTTTTCCTATTTAATAGGAATTGGCTTAATGTTTTCCAATAGAGATCACTAGTTTTCTGTCAAGCACCTTTAGATCCCATTAGGAAACTGTCAAATGCATTTAGAATCAGCCTTTGGTCACCTGTTAAACCATTAGGAGCCTTGACATTGTGATGTCAACCCATTAAATAAAAAGCCAAAACACATTACAAAACCATCAGGAACCAAAAGAAGCACTTAGTGGTTTCTACGGGTTTTTTCAGCAGGGTGTAACAAGCTTCCGTCTTAAATTTAGTCTAAGCTTGGTGACTAAACAGATATGATTTAAGCAGTTTCAGTAAAATGGCCCCTGGCTGCTGTCACCACTGTAAACATTGCTGCTTTGGTAGCTAAGTTTCTCTAGAACGGAGCATTTCACATTCGCTTTGAGTGACTTTGTTCACAAGTTTAACGAATTAAGTTTGAAAAATCGACAGAATCCCCTTTAATGTAATCCTCACATGGCCTTAGTGGCAAACAGAGCCAGCATAAGTGAAATTAGAGGCCGCTCCACAAAATTCTCCTCACAGAAACGACACGGTTTAGGATTCATTTCCGAGCTACTTTCGCGTTTGGCCTCCATAGCATCTCAGCTGTGGAGGCGCGAACCACAGCCAATCAGCGGCGGAGTTCGCGTTCGACTGCGCGAGCCGGTGATGCTACGCGGAGGTGGGAGGACGAGGGGGAGGGGGTGGGATGGGGTGGAGACTTCGATTCAGTTTAACGAACCGATTCTCTCGAAGTGACAGCTTTGACGAATCGAACTTCCGAGTAAACGACTCATTGATTCGCGAGTCAAGTCAACTTCATTCTCATCACCTTTGTATCCGTGACGAGGATTAATCAATTGATTATTCTTATTCCCTTCCTCCCCTCCATTCGATTCCGAGATTGAGTTTGATTTCTGAGTCCATGGTGATTAGTTAAGTAAACTTTATTCTCATCTCCTCCCCATAAAACGACTCAGCAAGTGAGTCTGATTATTACAATTAGCCAGTTCAACTTAATTCTAATAACCATTCAGTTTGATGTCCATTAGTCAACTAATGGACTCAACATCGCAGAAAACGGAGTCTATAAAAAGAAAGATAGTGTTTCATTCACGTTGTCACGTGAAATATTCATTCTATGACGTTGAGCTGTGAAAGACTTTCATCCGAGTTGTATTAGGGGGTCTTCAGCCAGTGCGATTCAGTTCAGAACTCGTGAATCGGCTCGCGCGACTTGCGAAAAAGATCCGGTTGAAATGAACGACTCGTTGACAAGTCGCTAGGAGAGAGCGAGACTCTCCCTCTCTCAAACAGTTTCTCTCGCGCATCCAACGGACTCGCATCCCCTCAGCTCGGAGTAACGGTCGCCTGCTCAACGCTGAGGTAAGTCTCGTTCGGTTTTATTTTATTTTGGGGTTATATTCACTTTTTGTCCTGCACTTTGAAAGAACTAATCATCTTACACAGCATTAATAAGGATCCGTTCATCTTGTAGGCTAATATCACTTTATCAGCCCGACTGTAGCCTAAGGTTAACGGTCATACGCGGCACTGAGGGAGATATTCACTTTACCAAACAGGGAACGATTTAAAATAGATGTATACTTCTTGTACTGGTACAAATATGTAAGACAGAATTTATGACTGTCTTTTATCAGACTAGGCTAACATTAACATTACTAACTTAGTCAGAAGTTTTCAGCTCATGTTCTAACTAACTTGCTAACCTAGCTTATATGCGCGTAGCGTGTGGAGAACATGACGTTAGCAATATTAAAGTGTTTTAGGGGTAACGACAAATACGTTATGTAGGTTAGGCTGCCATATTTTACAAAGCTGGTTCTTTTTTAGCCGTTTAATCCGCCGAGTTTTACATTTATTCATTTTTGTGCGAGTAATTATGCCCACTAATATTAACCTGCCACACTCAAAGTTTAGTGCTGGCTGCGGCGTGATGGAGGCAACAGTTCCTCTGAGAGGGAACAGACTGAAAAAAACAGAATTAAAATTGAGTGAATTTCTCACAGAGTCAGCATATCTCTAATCTCCAGCTTTTAATACAGGAATGCATTTTCACTCTATTATTATTTAGTGTCTTTGCTTCGGGGCTGGCCCTGCTGCCTGAATGTATGCCAGGGAAATGTATGCTAATTCTGCTTTTGTTATATATTATCATATGCCTTTGGTAATAAATGTTCATGGAGAAAGTCTTTAGATAAAGAAGATACTGTAATGTGGGTTTGAAAGGCTGACTGTACACTCATGGCTGGCTGTGCTGGTAAATGTGGGGAGATATTCATGGTTGTAATTGTGGGTTTGAGAGGTTCATGGTAGTATTTCGAGTGTGAGATGTTCGTGGTTGTATTTTGGGTTTGAGATGTTCATGGTTTTATTTCATGCTTGGGATGGACATGTAAGTGATGGAGAGGTTTATTTCTGGATTTCTGGTTTTCTGGTTCACTGCTGTTTTCCAGCAAAGTGGAGAGGAAAATCAAATCATGTGCTTGAAATGGGTTTACTCTCAGCTCATTTTTGGGTGTGAACATATATGTCCGTTATTTAGTTTTGGGTTGTGTCTCACCCTTATTAGTTTATTTTACGGCCTAAGCGAGGGGCCTAAACCCAGTCATGCTCCTTTAAAATATGTTGGAAGAAAGTAGCTGATGTGTTGTGGCAGATGAAATAAAAGTTTGTACTAAAAACAAGTTTGTAAGTATAACATGTCGTGTGACAATGAGCATATGTTGATAATAGTTTAGTACGTTTGTCTGGAAAACTACACTTTTGCATGTTTAATGCTGGAAAAAAGCTCAGTATAATAATTAAATAAATAAGTACATACATACATGTATACATACTCCCACAGGAACTTTACACATGAATTTGGATCCTTTTAGTTAGGCCATAATGAATTCTGACAATTTAAAATGGCTATTTAATGAAAACAGGCTGCTGTTTCTTTATTTCCTTTCACTCACTCTGGAACGTAGAATCGATATGACATTTCGTATAACTTTCCAATTTATTTATTTATTTTTTTTTATAAAATTTGACAGTACTGCCTCTGATTTTTTTTAGGAGCAGTGTACTTCCAGACCTTTAGTACAGCCCCACCTCACAGCATTTAATTCTGTCTTGGCCTGGACTGGAAAGTACAACTTTAAAAGTACAACTCTGCATCTCTCAATTTCCAAAATAACATTCTATTTCTTATGTAAATGAGTAGTTTAGGATTTTTTTTTGTAGTTTAGAGTTCAGTCAGCCAAGCTGAAAAGATGTCTGTATGCAAATGCTTTGCGTACTTTTGTATGCTAATTAGATCAGTGCCCGCTGTCACCTGACACGACAATGGCCCGTAGTCAGCTGCGTTTGCTGCTGGAGATGGAGCTGGATAACATTGATTAGCAGACGCCTGTAATTAATTTCACCCCAGAGTGATTTATGAAGCCATGTGTAGTGCCATTACGTCACTAATGGAATTTTTCATGGCTATCGCAATGTCAAAGAAGAGCACTTTGAGATAGTGACAACTGAACTGCTGAAAACACGGGCAGCCATTTCAAAGAAACCACAGTTTCCAGAGGAAAAGGTAGAGCTTCACAGATACTTATTTCAGTACTTTTGGTCTTTAAATGTGTCCAGATTTGGAAACAATGGGTGTGCATGTCCAAAATTCTTCAAAAAAATATTTATACCATCTGTTGTTTTTTTCTTTCAAATCCCTCTGTAGAAGATGGAGCTATTTTTGTTTGCTAATTTGTGTAATTTTGGCTTTGTTTGGTAATTTACTAACATACAGATGCTTAGTAATTGGATTCATAAGTGGATATGAATGATTTCCATAATAAGGCTTGCGTTTCTGCTATTTTTCTTCAGTCAGCGCACTAAAAACTTAGCAAAAATGCTTTTTTTATTTTTAGATCTTAAAGAATATAAATGTAACATGATGAACATGGAGAGAACTGATGCTAAAGCGATAAAGCACTGCTCTTCAAGATATACAGTGATCATGGGCCTTGGTTCTTTCTGCCATCCCCATCGTCCCTATAGAAGAAATAGCCACAGAGTGAGACGGCTTTGGACGCACTCCATACTGCTCACATCAGACAGTGACTGAGATGACAGGGCAGATCACAGAGAGGGAGGGAGAATTTGGGGAAAAAAATGGCATGGATGATGAAAAACAAACTTAAAACGGAATTCTAAATGCACAATGAATATTTCTGCCATTCAGGGCCTGTGCATTACAATAAATAAGGATCGGCCTGCTCTCTTTGTGAATTGTGCAGCGTGTGCAGATGGAATACTGATCTTGGAGACATCTTGCTACCAGTGAGCTATGTCAGAAGATCTTCAGCATCTCTGTCAGTGTTAAAGTGATTTATTCACCAAACACATGGTGAAGGTGACCTCTAATGATCTCGGTTTTACATAGTAATCGCCGTGACCCTGCCGCCGAAGGTCAACCACTGATTAAGCACCATATTGTTGCAGGGAGTGCACATGTTCCATGGGTGTGAACCACAGTGTGATTCTATCGCTTGTGTGCAGGCGTATTCTGAACGTTCCTGCTTTAAGTCACAGAGGAAACCACTTTCTATCCAGCTTATCATGGAAGCCACCTTGATCTTGTCATTTTAAGATTGAAGACACTGGCCTGTAGAACTGGCTTACTCTTCATAGATGGTTTGATTTATGGCAGACTTGCGAATGCATAACTGAACAGGCTCTGCTGATGTGTTCAGATACGTGGTAAAACGAAGCACCCGTTTCTCCTGAACTTAATTAATTCACTCAAATCATCTAAAACCACTTTCTTTCCCCATTTTCGCATGTTTGCCATTTTTAGAATTACAGATCAGTATCAGGATTGCTGGAAAGGCCTGGCTATAGGAATAATCAAATTCAAAAATGCTGCAGAATTGCAGTGAACTTGGCATTAATTTCTTCAACCCCTGGTGGTATGGTATAATTTCCATGCCTTATTATCTCACTGCTGATAATATTGGTAATAGAGCCCATTGAGAATGCCTGTGAATAATGACTCCCACAGCTGGAGTTGTCAAGAATCACCTTTGCTTCTATATTTGGGAAAACTTCCAGTCGTGTTCTTGTTTCCCCACATTCAGTATAAACTGATAATGGCCTAATGTCGTTAACTTGGGTTGCTGCTCTGTTTTCTTTGTTCTTTCAATTGATTATTCTCTCTTACTTCACAAGTCAATCCAAACTGAGAGTGGATCAGTAGACACAAATTACTCACTAGCAGAGCTGGCCAAGTCTGTTACACAAGAGTGACACAACATCTAGATATGCAGTATTTCTTGTGAACCTCCTATATTATGTCAAGGCTGAGAAAGGCCAGATTTCCAAAGCCATCAGAGCAAAAAGATGGTATCACAAGATGGTAGAGTGAGTATTAGAAGTTGCACAGTACCGCTTTTTGTTTTTTGATGCAGATTCTGGTCAGTTTTTTTTTCCCTGTCAGCTTTAAATTGAGCTATTTTAATTTACCCATGCCACTTAAGATGGTCATCTTAAAGCACCATGCTCATGACACTGTACTACCCCAAAGGAAGAAATAAACAAACAGCAGTATGACTTACTGTGCACATTTAGACTATTTAAACTAAAGAAACTGTAATTTTTTGTGTAATACTTAGCTGCTTGTTCTTGTGTTAGTGTTAGATTACGTGTGGCTGCTGTTGTCATCACATCACGCTTAATTAGGTTCATTCTTTTTTCCACCAAGATTCGATCCTATACTGATGCTGGGTATTGGAACAGCATTATCTCTAGGAATACATAGTTTACATGATCTTAACCCTCCAACCCTTTTGGATGCCTGGGACTTGCTTGTGACCTGGCACTTTTGGGTTGCGTTGACTTATTTTCTCTCTGTGAAAAAGCCATCATACTAAGGATGGAGCTCTAAGCCAAAAGACTATTCGCAGGAGAATTGCTGCTGCAGTGGATAGCCGAGTGTGGCCACAGAAAGGTCATGTGCTCCAGCCACACACAGGAGTGAATTCAACCAGTGTGTTCAGATTTCTGTATGGTTCGTGCACTTCATGTGGAAGCCAAGCAGGGGCCCTTGTGAAAAGAACAAACCCATTTCTTTTGTACAAGAGCAGCAAGACAAGTGTGGACTAATAACCTGACAAGCCTGGGGTCAGAAAGTTCAGCTCTCCTACAGCACCTTACGGCCTGCAGACTATGGATGAGCTAAGAAAAGGAGAATGAGGAAAAAATGGCTTTATCAGTATCGTTTAACCTCTTTCTCCATTTGCCTTGAACAACCTCATCATATTTTAATTCTAAGAAATTCCTAGATGCTGCCACAGGCCTTCATTTATTTATAGCTATAGAGCTTTGGGTTTTCAATTCTATTTCTGTGGTTGTTAATGTCAATAAATGTCATTATCGATTAATTTGTTGATACATGTTCTCCCCCCTCTCCCTTTCTTTTTGTTGTGCAGCTTAAACTCTAATACCAGCAAAGGAGCAGAATCAAAATGTCAGACGATGTTGTGATTGCAATCAAGATGACTTAGCCTGACCTTTTAAAATGAAAGCATTGTTACCTTGATTGTAAAAAAAAAGAAAAAAAAAAGAAACACTCTTTTAAAGGCTGTACAAGGCAAGGGTGCAGGCATAAAAACACATTCTGAGTTATTACTTAGAGTAGAGGTTTTTCATTTGGGTGCCTGCATGTAAATCTTCCCCCCACAAATTGAAATGTATTGCGAGGCTGTGATAGTTATGGAGCTGCCAGTCTGAAGTGCTGGTCTGCTGTGATTACCTAAGTTAAGTGCCAAAGTTTCAAGATGGGTTTGAGTCTGTGGATGAGTTAATGGTGCTGTCAGGCTGTTAAAGGCCTTGTGGGAAAAACACACAATAAATATCAACGATGATGCGCGAAAAGTTCACCCTGACTTTGACTATAGCATCAACAACTCTATTAGCAGGGTGGGCTTCTGATCTGCGTATTTGTCAGTGAGGTGGAAGTGACAAGCAAACAAACACACACACGTATACGCACACACAAACACACTCTCACACACAGAGAGGTGCATTTGCATTGCAATGCGGGGACTGCATTCCAGTACTCGACCACAATGCTGAGGGGAAACTGCTGACCCGAGAGCTCCCACAGAGTTCTTTACGCAGCAGCCGAAAGCTTCAGTTCTCATGGCGTCTCCTCCCCTCACACAGGGAAAACCAAACAAAGACTCCACAATACAGGCACTGGATGACAGAGGAAACTCACAAACGGGACTGTAAACGCTAGTGCCCACACACAAACTCAGGTTAACAGGTGCTTTGTGCCTTCTATTTGAATAGTGTGCATGGAGAGACAATGGAGACTCAAGCTGCAGTGAGTTGCGGGCCGTGGTTGAGTCCCTTCACGAGCGAATGAATGTCGCGCACCTTGAATGGTGTCTTCAGGAGCATTGGTTTTTAGCACGTATGGCTGAATTGCTTTGTTTAAATCACAAAGCCTGCTCCAAGACGACCGTGCCTTAAAAAGCTTGCCATTTTTTACGCCTCCATTGAGGCTGAGCAGAAGAAGCAGAGTCATTGGCACAGTATTGCTTCCAGACCACATTATGGCCTCTCGCGTTACGTAATTAAGAGGTCCCATCTGGTCCGGGCAGCGCTCCCTGACACTAATTGTGTTGGTGCACATGGCCATCCCATTGAGCAAAAAAAAAATATCTATAAATAAATAAATAAAAGGAACTCCAACATTTGAATCCATTATCTGCTACTGTTGAGATTAAGGCGCACATGTTGCAGAAGAGATTAGTGGGGGAGGCTTGGGGGACACTTGTGTCTGGTAGGGGCCTAGGCTGCAGGATTACGCCTTGTATAGTGTGGCAACCCTCCGCATTAAGTACCAGCAGCCAATGAGTCACATGTCTCAGGCTTCTTCCACTTCGCTGTGCCTCAACAAGTGGTCATAAGAAAAGAATTAGCACTTGCCGCTATGTCCAAGTGCATGAAGCGTAGCTTATGGTTATGTTTATCCAGTGGACTGGGTCGGTTGTGTTGTCAAACATGACCTGAAGCAGATTTTTTTCAGTGTCTTACAACCGCTGATTCTTTGTGCCTCTTTTTAAGGGATGTAATTGTACATGGGCTGGTCGTAGTTAGATATAAATAGCTTTGAAAAATGGACCGGTGTGGAAAAATTATGAGTGAGATGAATAAATCAATCATCATTCTCTAAGAGCGTTGCAGGAGAAGTGATACCTTAGCATCCTAAAACCCAGCTGTCTAGACAGCCTTTTTCCCCCAAACAGACGGATCGATAGGTATCGATTACCCACTGTGCCCTGGGGAATGACACGAATTGGCTGCTTGGCTAGCTAGTCCACAGAATGGAAACAGGATCAGCTCTGATCAGCTCGAGTGTGCCACCCAGACTCAATTTGCCTTTACCTGATCCTCGCTTTCCCTCTCCTGCCTCGCTGCTTGCCGTTCAGAGAGGGGCCGACCACAATCCAACATGGCATGTGTCTCCTTCCATTTTGCGCAAGTGAGATGAGGGAGTTCGGTCGCACTGTTTTCATTTCCAGAGCTCACTGATGCAGCCACAGGATGAGAGCTGCTCCACCGATCTTCTAATAGAGTGCCGGTGGGGGGAAAAAAAAGATGTCCGAATATCAATTCAGTGTAATCAAACATTTATTCAGCCACCACTATCCTAAGCGGCGTTATCATGTAAGATTAGCATGCAAAACATGACTGGCCTATTTAAAAAACCCAAGAGCCGGGTATATCTAGTTAATGGGCAGTGGTCCAGTGCCTTATTCATTATATGGGAGAACTGGGAGACAGTGTGTTGGTGTTAGCTGGCTGTGCCTTGCTCTCTGCTCTGCTGCGCTGTACTTCCTGCAGCAGAACTTGTTACCTGTCGCCGCCCGTGGCTGACATTCTTCTTCTCTCGCTCCTAATTGCCCCTGCGGGACTCATCAGGAGTGCTGTGCTGTCTGCTGTGTGGCAGGGCTATCAGCAAGGGCCACGCTTAGAGCCCCTGCCTCACTCACACTCACACACACACACACACACACGTTTGTTCACTCACTCCCCTTGTCCTGCTGGCTCCCCGTGTCCTCCACAGGTGTTGCTACTATTCGCCCCCCCCAAACCCCCTGCCTGTCAGTCCTTTCGTACCCCCTCCCAGTTCTGTCTCGCCCAATCCCAAGAGACTCTGAGGGGACGGTGCCTTTGAGAATGGATAAAAACAAGGTGTTTAAAAAAAAGAGAGAACAGCTGATGTCTCAAGGTCAGACGACATGCTAAGTTCTCCGAAAACAACAGCCATCAAAGACTGAATCTGAGACACGTGATAGGTCACTTTTGCTAATTATTCTGTGTCTCCTGTGAACACGATAACAGATTTATCCTTGTTCATGAAAGAGTACTAATTTATGAGGCTTATGTTAAAACGTAATTGTACCATTCTAAAGAAATAACCTGAAGACCTTTTCTGTTAGGCTAAATTTTAGAGTTTAACACTATAATGTATAAGGTAGTGATTAAAAAGAATCTGCAGTATACATTTGAAACTCTTGTTAATACGTAAAGAACACTGGACAGCCTTCTAATACTGCCTGTATTAATTTGACACTGATGACATTGGTGTGTTTTTTTCACATCACACTTGTAGTGTCAGAACATACCCATAAACATCCTAGGTCATTGTGGAATTGTGCGAGGAGCTCTGAAATGATGGACAGTGTGAAGTCAAGGTGTCATGTCGAGTTTTCTAGACTGTGCAGTTGTGTTTATGGACAGCAGGGAAGCTTCTATGCTCCTTCGCCTGCTTCCCTCGCAGCAGGTCGGATTCATAAATGAACGGGGAGACATTTTGTGGTGGAGCTGTGTCTGCTCCCTCGGCCACACCATGTAACAAAACCGCTTTAGATCCAGCTGACTTCCCCCGGCAGGACTGTGTCAGGGGATTTGCCAGGTCATAGAGCTGTGCGAAATGGCTCCCTGAGTTTGACTAATGTGCTCCAGGAGCCCTTTCTCTGGAGTTTGGACTCCAAAAATCTATAAAGACCAGCCTCCATAAACTAGAATTGTGAGACATGGGAGAGCCGACATCTCTTTTTTTTTCTTTCTTTGTTATACGCACACACAACTGCACACATATACATTCTAGAGGTCCCATGGTACATTCAAGCTCATTGAGTTTGACAGCAAATCAATATGACCCAGTATCTATTGTTACCTTATTCAATTAAGCCAATTCATAAGGCTGAACAAAATGGAAAGCTCAACAGAGACCTACACCAGAATGGCAGTAGCATTAAAGGAGTGTATGCATGTATGAGGAAATCCAGCGGTACTAATATGCTTTTTCAGCTGAATCGGTGGCCCTTAAGCATCTCGCTTTCTCTCACTTTGTACAGACACACTGACCCGCTGTCTTCTTATATTGATGGAGATGTGTAAGCAAATGTCACTGACAATATTGTAAATCAAAAACTGAAGGCACTTAAATGCAATTCATGAAAGGAATGGCCATCTTCCCTACCTCCCCAACCCAGTGCAATTACATTTGCAATCTACTCGATAAAGAGTGAAAGGGAGGAAGGCCAGGCATTGGGCTGCAGACAAGCCTTAAGATTGATGTGGAAACAGGAAACGGGGTGATTGCTGATTATTATGTGGTGGCAGGATGCTTTTGTCTCTCTGGCTTTCATTTGGAGGGGTCAGTGCTGTGGGACCGTGCTATTCTCCCCATGCCAAATGATGAAACTGTCCACCACATATTAGAAGTAAACATTTCTGTGTCCAAGTGAGCTTTTTTCTCTCCTCTTTTTTTCCTAACTCAATTGCTACATAAGTGTTTTGGTCTGTAAAGCAGGGCAGTTAGAGTGGACTTGCATTGATTAATTGATAATAGATTTGCAAGAGTCATTGGCCTTTTTTGTGGTATTTTTGGAGTCAGGGTCTAATGGCTGGCTGTAGAGAGGGAGAGAAAGAAAGCTTATCTGAGTTTCATCGCGCTTGTGCTAAACGGGCTCCTGCAGAACAGCGCTGGTCTAAGCCTCCACTTTCCACTTCACGCTCTCTAAATCGTGGGACACCAATTATATAGATATCAGAGCCTGAGTCACTCAGAAGTCCTGCAGAATTGCCATCATATAGTTTTTTTTAAGAGATATCTTTTAATTAGCAGATGGTTGTCGTCTTGATACGGTTGCTTCTAATTATATAAAAAAAAAGAACGATTCGCACTAGCTGTTGGCTAATTCAATCTGAAGCTTCCACCCAATTAATAACTCGATTTCTCTGTCTTTACAGGTACCCCATGCCTGCTGCCAGCTGCCAGCAGGGAGGACTATGAGGGTAGCAAACACCTCCACAAGACAAGGCTTTAACCTGGGCAGATAGGACCAAAGACAGCTGCAGGCTACCTTGAGATCAGACAAGATGAGGACTTGGACCGTATGCTTCTTATGGGTGTGGGCGGCACAGAGCGTGGACGCCATGGCATTTTTAAAAGGGACAGTTGGGGAGGAAAAAGCGAGGGTAACGCAGGAAGAAAGAGATGTGGAGACTCTGAGACGCTTCAAGAGAGGCTGGATGTGGAAGCAGTTCTTTCTCCAGGAGGAATACACTGGCATGGATAATCAATACATCGGCAAGGTAGGAAACCATTCATGCTTATCTCCATACTCTGAAAAAAGTGCTGCATTCAATTTATTTGGTTTAAATGTACATGATTTGCACTTCGATAAGCAAACGCAATGCCAACTTCATTTCAGCAGAGGTTGTTCAGACATGTAGACAATAGATGGTGCAATGATCCAGTTGTAAAGTTTTCCACGCTTTGCCATGTGCAGGTATAATTTAAGTGGCAGTGTAGTTACGGCGATACGGCAAAATGTCATATCACGACACTTCAAGAATTTTTTTGCAGTACATGCTATGTCATGATATTCATTTATTCTGATAAGTTAGATCAGACAAACTAAGCCCACACTGTAAAAATACTATGAATCCACTTATTTGTGCTCAATGTTTCACACACTGTGCTGCACTGAATCCTTTTTGGTTGGAACTACTTGGAAAGCATGAGCTTATGAATAACATGGCAAAGTCTTGCGTTTTTCATTGGCATGTCGATACCACACTTTACGTTGCGCTGAAGTTTTTTTGTTTCATGTTACATGTCTGAGTAGAATCACAATAATAATATGTCAGTTGAGAGAGTACTGGAACAGTTTCATGATCTTTCTTCATCTTCTCTCTCAGCTGTCGTCTCTTAATAACTAGTAATACAGAAGATGAAATGTGTGGGCATGGTGAAGGTAGTGTTCTCCAGCATGGCTCCTGCCAGGTCGGAGATAAGGACTAAGAAGAAAACGAAGGCCTTAGCTTCCTCACTGTGCTGCCCACCCTCGGAGGCAGAAGGGTCTGGACAAAGGATCAAAGATTAGAATATATGATAGATAAAAAAAATAAAAAAGAACTCAGTACTGTTGCTTAGTGCTTCCATGCTTTGCGAAGGGTCAGCATGCAATGGAGTATTCATGTGGAGTGCTGGGAGCACAGAATTTACACAACCTCCATGCTTGATGCAAACCTAAGCTGAAAAAGAGACTATAGAGGAGAGTTGTGCACACTCTAAAAGAGGTTCAGAAAGGCTTTTTGCTGGGGTTATGAAGTTATGGATCTACCTTTTCATGCCTGTAACATTCCACGACTTGAAAACAAAGATTCGTTTCAACAAAACAACGTACTTGAGCTGTGAACATAATGCAGACTAAATTCCTTTTTTCTTTCATCAGGGGTCATTATTTAAAGCAATCAGATAAACCTATAGTATATAGATTCTGCTCAGCCCCTCCTTACTCAAACTGACATAGTGAATGACAACTGTCATCTGGAATGGTAAGATGTGTTTCAAACATGCCTCTCTTGGGATGCAACGGACAACGCTTTTTGATTTTGCTCATGAAATTCAGAAATGAATGAATTTCAGAAGAAAACTCATTCCACATAGAGATAGCAGGTGGAGATGTCTCTCTTTGTAATGAATATGTATTCACCTTGATTGCACATTTGATGTGTCTTACTTTCATGTGATAAGCAATCAGATTTCAATTTTGTCAGGGCTCATCTTCACATATTGCCCTCGTAAATCCTACGTAGTACTTTCTTTTTCAGCTTTTAGTTTATTGTCTTGTTCCTCCAAAAACAGCCACCTCCAAAAACAGCTCCAGACTACTGAATGTAATACATATTTTAGCAGTGTTATCAGCTAAAGACTGATCTAAGGGTTACTGATGAATTGCTTGAATGGCCTTTCCTCCACAGCTTCACTCTGATCTGGATCGAGGAGATGGCACGGTGATGTATGTGCTCACAGGCGAAGGAGCTGGGACGATCTTTGTGATAGATGCAAACTCGGGTGATCTGCATGCCACCAGGAGTCTGGACAGAGAGGAGAAGCCATACTACACTCTCCGAGCCCAGGCTGTCAACAAGAAGAACGGCATCCCCTTGGAACCGGAGACAGAGTTCATTGTCAAACTACACGACATCAACGACAACGAGCCGAAGTTCGAGAAGGAGGTTTATACGGCTAACGTCCCTGAGAGGTCACACGTTGGTATGATTCAGCTCAGGCATACTCATTTAGTGCATTTTCTGTAAAAAAAAAATGTATTGGTTTGAATGACCACTCTAGCTATTAAAGCACATGTCTTGAGTCAGAGATTTTGTATTAAATCAGAGTCTGGATTGTAGTGTTTTTGCTATTTGCACTCAGTAAGCTACCAGATAAATTCTTATGTATCACAGCAATCAATAAGTCATTAAATCCAAGTTAGAACTTATGTAACTGCTTTATTAGAAAACAGTGTCTGATATATGCATTTGAGTCATTTAGTAACTTTCATGCTTTATTTTTTTCTTTTTTTCAGGCACCTCTGTTATTCAGGTCACAGCACACGACGCAGATGATGAAATGTTTGGCTTGAGTGCAAAACTTGTCTACAGCATCAGCCAGGGTCACCCATACTTCTCAGTGGAGTCAAATACAGGTCAGACTGTCCAAAGTGATCTGTTATATCATTTTCAGATTTCTCAGACAGAAGGGAGGAAAGAGAGAAAGAGAAAGAGAGAGAGAGACAGAAATACATTCAACACACACTCGTAGACAAACAAAATTGCGCAGAGAGAGAATCCAGAGAGAAGGAATTAAAGATAGAGAGTGAAAGGGGGAGAGAGAGAGCATAGTAATGTAGAAGGTTGGCATTATGGCCCTCCCGCCTGAGCATTTTAGCCGTGCAAACTCACACAGTTAGTTTAATCATTCTAATGTGCACCCTGGAACATCTCCAGCAGAGGTCTTTGTTTAAACAAAAGCGAAATTGAAACACAAAAGCTCCTGTGGCAGATTACCATCCAGCTTAACACTGATAGGGGTTAGCCCAGATGTGACATGGATGATGATGTCCATGTCACATCAGAGTACATAAAGTCCTAAAAGAGCTTTGGGCTGAAAAAAGGGATATTCCTCAGTGTTCAGGGTTAATCTGGCAATGTTTGTGTCATTCAAAGAAAAAGAAAAGCTTGGGCGTCATGCTATATATGAATTACTGGATTTGCCTTTTGCCCTTTTTCTGTGCTCATGTATATATAGGACAGAACAGTTGTGAGACACAGTAGATGCATCGTTCTAACGCCCATCTGCGGCAGCTTTATGACCATTTGCAGTCCCTCTGGTCAAGTGCTGCACTCAATTTCCAGTAACCCTTAGTGTATCTGTTATTATATGCAGTGTAATAAAGGAAGTTTTTGAAATAGGTGTTAGAGTAATAAAAGATACCCTTGGCTATAACCAGAAGGTGATGTCAGGTGCTGTGAATCCAAGCTTGTACAACACTAGTCCTTATCCTTCAGCCCAGTTCATTCACCTCCTGCAGCCGTATTTCTTTAACGGCCAGTGACGCCCATTTCAATCTCCAAGGCAAAATAAGGAAGTGTGTGATTGCAGTGAGCTCCGTGCTATTCCAACACAACAAGTTTTTTTTTGCTGCTACTGAAAACTCTCACTATGCTTCCCCAGAGCATCATAGCGCTGCAATCATTGTCATATGGTAGAGCGAGTGTGACTTTAAACTCTCTCCATAGCATATAACAATGATCGTCACTCTGCAGACTAGAAGTTTTTTTCAGCACAATGTAGTTAATCTCTTTGAATCAGGAGCTGGTGCAGATATCAGCAAAACAATCAGCCAAAAAAAAAAAAAACTCTCAAATCTCCCTTTGCTTCCTTCAGGCATAATCCGGACAGCCCTGGGGCCCTCGGACATGGATAGGGAGCAGAGGGAGCATTACCAGGTGGTGATTGAAGCCAAGGACATGGCAGGCCAGAGGGGTGGCTTAACTGGCTCCACTACAGTCAATATCACCCTCACCGACGTGAACGACAACCCCCCACAATTCTCACAAAGTAAGGCTGCAGCAGACACCTCTACAATAAAGAATTACAGTATAAGGCTACTTTTACTGAAACACTTCACATTGGGGTTTGCTAACGATTTAAGCTTGTTGCAAGTCATGAATTTTTTGTCTGTATGCTTTTATCTAAATGAGTGGCTGGATGTCATGAACACATTACTCATGTTGAATGCTTACTGGCATGATGTTAGCAAATTGAATACAGCATTTTTAGATCAAGACTACCGATCTAGGTTGTGGCCCTTTATGCCCTAATGAACTTAGTTTCATAACAAGACAAGACCTGGTCCTAAATCAGTACCCTGTATTTCATTATTCTTGATAAATACAGGTCATAAGTACCAGCACATATCACTGCAATAACAGAAATAGAGCATGTGTGCACCAACCATAGCAAAATGCAACTTGGCTGTATTCATTGTCACAGAGGGACCATCTTGCAGTGGGGCATGATTAAGGGCAAAGCTGCCATCCTGGCCTCGCCAAAGTGCATGAGGTCTGTGTGGTAATCCTGATTAAAGTGGACAGAGCAGGCTAAGCTTGATCATTCTTTAGTGCCTTTACTTGGACCCCCTCCTCTTGCCTCTGCCTTTTTTCTGCATGCAAATGTGAAATGCTCTATCAGAACAGAATAATATCTGATTGACATGTATACGTTGTTTACCATGCATTTTAGTAAGGATTGTTCTCTCATCACCTGGTTTTTAGTTTCCACCTTGCAAGTTGAGATTTGTATGCATGCTGAAGACTCTAGTATAAGAACTGACAGACTACTACATCATCCATAGGGAAGGTACACAAGAGGTGTACAGCACAGATCAGCTAAGATGTGTGAACTTCTCCCATCAGGTATCTACCAGTTCAGCATCCCTGAGCTGGCCAAAGCTGGGGAAGTGGTGGGCCGAGTCCGAGCTGTGGACGCCGACATCGGCAGAAACGCTGAGATGGTTTTCACTCTGACCAGCGGGGATGGCCTAGATGTGTTCGATATAACCACGGATAGAAACACCCAGGAAGGCATCCTCACTGTCAAGAAGGTAAAGATTTCATGCGAACCTTGAATACGCTGCAGTCTCATTAGAGGCATTCATGCTGTGAAATAATGATTTACCTCAGCTTGGTTACTTGAAGTTTGGCTCGACAGGGAAACACGCATGTGTGTCCCACACTGGTCCTGCATATTGTATTGAGCACACAGTGTGGGCGGGTTGTTTATCTCTGTGATCATGTTTTCTCTGCAGCCTCTTGATTATGAGAAAAAGAAGTTGTACACCCTGCAGATCCAGGTGCGCAACACCCACCCAGACCCGCGGTTCGTAAGCGTGGACTCCAAAGACTCGGCCACAGTCAGGGTCAACGTGGAGGATGTGGACGAGCCTCCTCGCTTTGAGCGCTCCAGTTACATCCTAGAGGTCAAAGAAGATGCAGCCGTGGGTACTGCCATCGGCTCCGTCAGCGCTGTGGACCCTGATGCTCGCCGCAGCCCAGTCAAGTAAGCAGCTCATACTACAGGATCCTTGAACTCTACTTCGCCCACACAAGGCCTAAGTGTTCCAGCCCCATACACATGCACATAATTTCAGCTATGAGCTTTCTTCTTAGACAAGGAAAAAATCTAATTATTGAAAGTACAAGAAAAGCAAACATCTGCATTGCATTTAACATCTTTGTAGGGCTTTTTTAGCCGTATTTATTTGTCATCAGAAAAAAGTACATATATAAACATATATTTAACAGATATATAAATAACCCCATCCCCTAAATATAATATCAAATCTGTCATTATTTAATTTGTCCACTCTTTAACGTTTTAAACTCTACTGGCGCTTCATCGTTATAATTTTAAAACCAACAAGTTACAGCTGTCTTCCAAACTAAAGGTTTTCCCAAAAGCTTCACTGACTTCGTTATTTTAGACACTAACATTCACATAAGCAACTACCCAAACACCTCAGCTACCTTGCAGATTTCACCCTCTTGTGTGTACCTATGAATGATACCACAAAGCAATTGCTTTTTTTTAACATGGTAGTGGTTTGGGTTGACAAGCAATGGTAAAAATGCTAATGTTGAAGTCTGTAACATAAGTATTTTATGGAAGGGCATAAATAATGGGTGATGGGTCAGTTGGAATTCTTCCTAAGGTATTAGTTTCACTGTTATGTCACAAATACACCAGATAACGAAACATACAAACAGTGTAAAACACGCTAACAGGAGCCCACTATATCTGAATGGCTGAGCCAGACATCTTTCAGTAATCCCTTGTTTCCCCCGTATAGTCCGTTACAGTTAATCTTAGTCCAGATTGTTATCGAGGCACTGAACGTTAGAGAGACATATGGAAGGAACTGCCGGTGTCTTAGGGTAATGAAAGCCTTTAGACTTGGTTGAGCCTGTAGCATAGCAGCCTGCAGACCAAACCAGTAGCCCCACCTGCGGTGCGCCTCTGTCAGTCAGCTGCATCACACAGCCGTGAAGTCTTGCGGCCATTTGCTTCAACCAAGCTAAGAAATCTGTATTTAACCTCTGCTACTGACAGTGTGAACGACTGTAATTTTAACTCCAGCGCAATCTGAACCTCAAAGATTTAAGAGCAACGTAGGAGACAAATGACTTGAGAAATTTGCATGTGAAACAATCTCCGGCTCCGTTTTTGCCAAGCCAGATAGGTTGCAGTGTGCTTACATGTGGAGACCACAGGTTTATCCATAAAATATTCAGTTCTGTTTTTGCTCAGTAAAAATTTCTCACATTAAATATGATTCTTATTATTAAATATATAATAGTAAATACTGAAAGTCTGTAGGGTGAGAAGGCAGCTGCAGTGATAGTCTGGCAATTTTCACATCCCTCTAATATATAATAATTTAATGTAATTCAACAAGTAAATGCCATTAATTCAAGCTTGGCATGTTTTATTAGTGAAACAGAACACACCTTTTACCAAAGTAAAATATTTTAAAAGTGGAATTGTATAAATATCAGGATTTCTAAGCTAGTTAGGTTAGATACAGTTAGTTAGTACTGTATTGGTACTCGTGGTATCAGCCTATACTTATGGAACAGATATCTGTAAAGGAAGGGGGGAAAGTGGTATTGGTGCATCCCTACTTAATGGCCGTTTTGACTGGAAATTAAAGAAATGAAAAGGTTTTCTCTGACTTTTGCATAGTACTGTAGGTGTAGTTCATTGATCTCCCAGGAGAAAATTGGGTTTTACAGTAGCAGAAGAACATTGAATGTTATGTATACAAAACAAGTAGATGCATAATTAGATATGTAATTAAAAGTAAAGAAGACAACATCAACTGAAACATTTACATGTACCACATAAAATACATTTTATTTTGTTTTATTTCATTAGCCTTCTTATTTCATTAATTTCATTAATTCATTAACCTAACTTAAATGGCCATTAACCTAACTTAAATGGCCATGCAATAAAGCATCTTAATATATTTCCACTGCACCTTGGGAGACCATTCAGACTGCATCTAATGTTATTTCGGTCTTGTGTACAAGATTTTTGATCTGAAACTGAAAGATGCTAAAACGCACATCCTCATTGATCCAACTGACCTCCAAGTGTAGAGCCCCACTTTGCATTTTAAGCTGTCACAGATACGAACTGAGACTGAATACATCCACACTGAACACTCTTTTAATTCGAAAGGTCCCTCGATTGCGAGTTCTCATTGAGATAATCGTAATAAGCTTCCATTATGAGAATAAATGAGTATATTATCACTGTCCAAAGCCTCCAGATGATAAAGCTGATGCACTGGGTTCACCACTACAATAAACGGTCCCTTTTTTCCTCCCCTCCGGAGACCACAGTAAATAAGAGCAAAGAGAAGAAGTGCAATTAAAGAGCCTCGGCAGACAGGGAGCAGGACTTCAGGGCTGGTAATTATCAGAGACATCAGGGCCAGTGTGCACGAGCAGCGTGGTTCTGCTGAACATCAGGAGGATAATTAGCAAATTGAACAGTCCCCCTGAATGATTGCGTCTGAAGGAGCAATATTGTGGGCTTCTGGTGAAACGAGAACAAATGGGCACAGGGCATGAGCGGGCTTTGGACTCTGTGTTTGTAATCAGTTCTGCTCCACAAGGTGTCACTGATTCCTGTGTCCTCTGCGCAGCTGCCCCTGTTTGGTATCAAACGTGGGATTACTGTGTAGAAAGCATTCTTTGTTTAACATGCATCACTGCAGCATCATGCCTGCATGCCTAGGCATTATCGATTCAAGGAATGGTGTCATTTCCAGGTACACAATTGATCGCCACACGGACGTGGACCGGATCTTTAACGTGCATGCTGGAAACGGGTCTATATTCCTGCAGAAGCCTCTCGACCGAGAGAACCTTGCATGGCACAACATCTCTGTGATTGCAGCAGAGTTCAGTAAGTCATGTATACACTCAGTAAACATGTTGATTCCAGTTTACTCGTAAGATTTCTCAGTATTAATCCATTTCTGGGAAGTTGCAAAAAGATTTCGGCTCAGATCCAGCCCAAACCATGAGATCTGGCTGGGATCCGAAGCCAGTACTTGTTGTGAGTCAAGACTGAACAAGCATCTTTTGAGTTTATTCCAAAATTGACACACCACATCTATACATTACTGACTGTCTATATCTCTTGCTGTCAGACTGATCTCGTACTCATGTATACAGTACAGTGCAAAATTTAGAGACTACCCTTTCATTTGTTTAATTTCCAGTAAAAAAAGACATCAAATATGTTATTCTTAAGAAGGTATTATTCGTTTTTCAGAGTTTATAAATATATTTAACAGGAAATTATGCAAAATCCTCCAACAGTAAGTATATCAAAACTGTATTTAATTTGTCCACTCTTTACTTTTGTGCTCCCTACTGCAGTTTTAGGTCTGTCAGCTTTTTAATCTTAAAACCAATGAGTAACAGCTGTGCAAGACCTGGTAGATCACCAAAACTGTCCCAATCAGATAAACAGCACTTAAAGCTTTCATTTTTGAGATAGAAGAGAAAATCAAGCTGCTTCAGATCTGAAAAATCCATAGACTCTTTGTTCATCCTTCCACTGGTGTGAAGACAACTCAACACTGTGGGTCTGAAAGGATTTGTAGCTGTGAAGAAGCTGTTACTGAAAAAAGGAAATGGACAAAAAAAAACACCTGTTCTAGAACACTCTACTGGATGCCTGAGATTAGAAGGAAAGTTTTATGGACTAATAAGTCTACATTTGTACTTGGGATTCCTTGGATCACAGAAGTAAAAAATGCCACTGACTTTTAAGACTGAACTTTGGATTTCTTTGAAAAACTGAAAAAAATGTCCGTAAAAGAGTAGATGCTATAATAAACAATACGAAATACTGTGTGTATAATATGTTTAGCTAAGGCTTCAGTGTAATTGTCTTTTTTAATATGCTTTTTGCTTTTTTTCCTCATGCTGAAAAATGAATAACTTCTACTTAATGATCATCTAGACTGGAAATTAAATAATGAAAGGGTGGTTTCTGACTTTTGCACTGTATATGTATGACTACTCCGGTATGCCCCTATACGTTTGCATTTTTTTTTTTAAATTCCTGATTTTGACTGAATGCAACTTGGCATTACTATTGTGATTCATCAGTCATACCGGTATGTTGCTTATGTGTATGACTTATCTTTAAGCAGTAAGGCATATGAAATCATTCAATATTCAGTTTCAGTATTCAGGACAGTCACAGTTGAAAGAAATTTAAGGTGATTGTTCATGTATGCATGTAGATGTATCTCAAAGCAAGATATCTTCAGAGCTTTCATAATGCTTTTTGTTTAGTGGATAATTAGTTGTGCGTTTGATATTCTGTGCTAATTACTATTTCCCATTTCCCATAACGTAGCTAGTTAGTTTAATAGTTTGCTTGTGTTAGCCTAAGAAACAAAGTTGGAATTTGTCTAACGAACGCTGATTACCTGCCTGAATTACCTGATTAACATGAGCTAGATAGATTGTAGCCTGAGCTGGTTAGTAGCAAATTAAAGCTCATTATGTCAGGCAAGCTAGTTAACTCATTAAATAGTGCTGAGCTTGTCTAGTGTCATCTTACCTTGAGAAGAGCAAGGCCATGGTGTTCCTCAATACAAATGTAGGTGTATATTCTGAAAGTATTAGACAGAAAATTAGCCTAGGCAGTAGTTTCTAAAATCTTTAAACCCAAAACAAATAAATAAGTAGAATTACAACTACTCACCAGAAATGAATTGGATTTCATGTCAAATGAATAAACAAACTTTATGGCACTTAAGTTGCTGTTGACTTATTGCTTCAAGTGATATGAGCATCCAGTTTTTCTATATATCACCAAAGCCTCTTTTTGTCCTTGCAGATGACCCCCAGCAGACCAGTCGAGTGCCTGTGTATATCCGTGTGCTGGATGTCAACGATAACGCCCCCATGCTGGCCTACTTGTACGATACCTTTGTGTGTGAAAATGCTAAATCTGGACAGGTAAAGGCTTATTTTAATGGACTTCAGCATTTTTTTTCACAGGCCAACTTGTCAAGTTAGATGTGCGATGGGAAGAAATTATATCAGCACTGCTGTTTGGCCATTGGACTGGTGTGTCGATTTAGAACAGGGGCGTTTGTTGAACACTTTGTGACCTCTATGGGACTTGCTGCCTCCGGATGGAGATAGAGATCAGTGATGAGTATTTCCCCTTCGTGGATTAGACACCGGGGCCTTTTTCTGTCATGCTTGATGAGATTATATGTCGCGGCGGATGACAGGGGCTGTCACTTATCACAGGCACTTTATAATAACTGTCCACCTCTCCTTCAGTGCTCGACTCCTATCGCCTCCCCCGCTGTCCGTCATCACACAGCTCACTGACCCGCCCACTGTATGACGTTCCTCAGAACTGAGAGATCTGCTATCTGCCGTCCACTTTTCAGTGCAGCATTACTACAACAACTGCATAAAGGAAGCATGATCCAAAAAAATCTTCATTCGAAAAGCATGTATACTGCTAAGCCAGACTTAAGAGTTACATACTAGCTGCATACCTTCTAAGAGCTCTTTTTGGAAATAAGAGTTTAATGTAGTATGTAAACTGGTTAAAGTTTTAAAACATACCATTCACTCTCCGGTTCATACAGTCAAGCCATTTTTAATTGTTTTACTTTTGATGCCACAGAAACCAACAAATTTGCATATATATTCAGCCTATAGCAGTTTAGCCCTGTTCTTTCATGTTGAAGTTATAAGGAGTGTTTCAGCCCAGACTGCTTTTTCAATGAAGCACAATACAGGGCGGCCAATCAGGACATTTGTATATATCAGTCTTAAAAGCACAATAACAAAAATAGTCTGTTTGATTTTAAGGCTTAAAGAGAGGTTAAAATGGTCATGTAAAAATAAATTATGACTGTTTTGGGTACATAAACCTACACAAACATCATAAATGAAGCTTAGGGGAAAAAATAAAAATGTTTGGCTGAAAGAATGTTATAACAATGTAACAAACCATTTCGTAGTAAATGATTATGAAGAGTTTACATTTTAAAGTATTGACATTAAAAAATAGATTTGGTACCCACTGCATGTGCTATTTCATCCACTTTTATCAGCCTAAAGGGAGGCAGGCCAGTGAATGTGAAGAGTCTGGCTGGTTGCTATGCCTGACAGGCAGAAACACGCTAAACACCAGAGGACTGCTGATTAAATTTTAGACCCAGCTTACTGCTAATGTGCCCTTGAGCAAGGCATTTAACCTTAAATTGCCCTTGCTAGCCACACAAGAGAACTCTGAGCTCAATCACTGAATTGCTCTGTCCTTGCCCCCAACAAGAGCTCCTGTGTTTGTATGTGTGAGCAGTAAAAGTCAAGAAAAAGACATTTTCAAGGAGAGATGTTGCTGCACCTTACTGTGCTGTAAAATCTGATTTGCTAAATTTACTTAAATGGTTTGTGAAAAACAATTGCATTGGTGTGTTTTAGCACTAACATTGATTTGTCTGTATTTATCTCCAAGTTTAATGTTTAGAGAAGATACCCGCTGTCAAAATTTAATTGCAAACAGACCGAAAGACAAGGTCCAGAATGACTTGGTCCAGAAAAGTCTTGGTGCATTAGCTTACATTGAAACTTAATAATCCTGTGTTACATTTTAAGCTTTACAAATTAGTAATAGTTAGAAAAAATGCTAATATTGCAAACATCACATACCATCTACCAATTAGCATTATGCCAGTCATCACACTAATTGATGGCCATTAACTTCAAATTAGCACTTGTCATGTTAGCCTGTTTGGTCAAGCTGCTTCTTTAGTGACAGCTCAATCAAGGCAGTTGTTCTCCACAAGGCGTTTGACTGCACACAACTCAGAATTAACTCATTCAATGTTTAATGTTTCATATTTAAAACATTTTTGTTTCAGAAAATCCAAACCATAACAGCAGTGGATCGAGATGAACCCAAGGCTGGGCACCGGTTCTTTTTCTCTCTGGCACCGGAGAGTTCGAGGGCCAACTTCTCAGTGCGAGACAATGGAGGTTAGTGGCCTCTCACAAACAGTCCACCAAAGCCAGCTTCTCAGAGTCAGCGCAGAGCCGAGTAGCAGGGCCTGGTCAAAGGCTCAGCTTTTCCGACCTTCGGCTTTTGCAGATTTACACAAGCCCAGCTCATGCAGCACTCATCACCAACTAGGCAAACCAAAACAAACTGAGATATAGCAGAGGTTATGTCACGTGACCCTAGCTGAGCCTGCTATTGAACCGGGTGCTCTTCTCTCTCCCACAGATAACACCGCTAGCATCTTTACCCGCCGATCAGGCTTCAGACGGTCACAGAAGAGTACCTACCTGGTCTCTGTGGTGATTTCTGATGGAGACATCCCCATGCAGAGCAGCACAAGCACGCTGACAATTCGTGTGTGTACATGCACCCGAGACGGCACCATGGAGTTGTGTAACGCAGAGGCGCTGAGCGGCTCGGCTGGGCTCAGCACTGGAGCTCTGGTGGCCATTCTTCTCTGCGTCCTCATCCTGCTCTGTAAGCACCTCCCTCTGTCTGTTTTGACTCCACGCTCACTCACTTACTCACCTTCAGTTTTCTACCTAGATATGGCAAGAGTTTCTTCCCTAGTAAGTTGTAGCATTCTGCAACAAGGAGAAGGAGCAAGTTTCAGCATTTTGGAACAAAAGTTTTAGAAATCTTTATCTCATTATGCACTAACATACTAGTAAGGAAATGTAGATAACTAAAAATAATATGTAATTATACTTGATACCTTCATGCACAAAAATACTTCTTTATTTAATCACATGAGCCCGATGAGTCAAATCCAAAATAAAAAAGGCGCTTGATTAAAAATGAGATTTTTTTTTTTTACGTCTATTCATCTACAGCACTTTATCCCCACCCACTCACAGTGAAGTTATAAGAAGTGTTTCTGTCTAGACTGCTTTTTGAAAGAGGGACAAAACAGGACAGCCAATCAGAATAGAGCTCCTTTATATACACCTATCTCGAATGCAGTTGAAAAATTGTAAAATAGTCGTGCAAAAAATAGACTGTGGACTGTTTTTGCTTTATAAACGCTCACCAATGTCAAAATTAGGTCGTAGGAGGAAAAAATTACAATGCAGGATATGGTAGAGATTGGTGATATGGAAAAATTTAATATCATGATACTTAAAAACGTTTTTATGATACACAATATGTCACGATATGTTTAAGGGATGTTTAAGCGTATGAGCTTTCATCAGGAGACTGCGAGTTCGATCCCCAGTGATGCTACAGCCATCCTTGCGGCCAAGAGAGCACACTTGGCCTTGCACTGTCTCTCTCTGGCTCATCACCTCGCACAATGCTTGCCAGCTAGCTAGTGGGTGAAATTGGACATCACTGAAACTGAGGAGAAAATTGGAAATATAGCAAAAAAATAAATAAAAATAATGAATACAAGGTTTTATATTCAATAATTTACATACAATGCTGCACAAATTCAATAAAATAGGACAGACTATGGTCTCTTTGTAATCGAACATGCAGTTGGGGAGTGTTTTTTAAGTACTGAAGATATCCACAATCTGCTCAGAATATCTTATTTTGGCATATTGTGATGTAATTTATCACGATAATGATCACATATTGCCAAGGTGATATATGTGGTCATTTAATCTACAGATAAGTATAATATTGGAATTTTTCACATGGGACTTTTAACAATTTTTCTAATACAGTTAAATCCACATTAAAACATGATGACTGTATCCTGTAATCCACTGCTAATGTAAGCCTGCAGTAGCAAGAGAGATTGTTCTGATGCTGTGTGCTGTTGCCGTGGTAATCAAAAATCAGACCCTTCCAAGTGCTCCTATGAGGACCACAGTCAAAATTCCATTTCCTCCTTGGTCAAAGTCCACTGTACAAATGGTTTCAGGAGTCTGATCATCACTCCGTCTGTCTGTGTTGAGTGTAAGCGCTCATGCTTCAGCTTCAGTTTGTCAGGGAAATGGTGGTTCCTTTCATTCTCTCACCTGTCTGCCTGTCAGCATGTGCTTTTGTCTGATAGAACATTAGATTAATTACTTTTCCGGTGGTCTGAAGTGTGCATGTATGGTCTGAATGCAAAATAAAGTGAGAGGGGTAAAAAAAAATAGCCTTCATGTGCTTAAATGGTTGAACTGATAAATGTTATGTTGTTAGCCTTTCAATCAGGATATTGTATAATGAAGGATACATTTCTTAATTAAACCCATCTTAAATTAAACCAACAAAAGAGAAATATTATCATTTCAGAGCAAATTTTGTGCAAATTGTTGAAAATCCTTATGTGTACATTTGCTCCAGCACTCTGGATTCTGGGCCCCATGATTCTTAGTGATATTAAAATAGCTTCATTTTATTTTTCTATATCAGAGTGAAGGGGCATGATGAAAGAGGCTTTGGTTAGTGTATTAGCGTCAGCTAGATCCTACCTGAGCACAGTGTGCAGCTGTTCTCTTGTGTAGGTGACACCGCCTTCTCCACAGAGAGTGTGTTATTGCTAAAGTGCGCCACATGTGCATGAAACCATGCCTGTTCCAGAACTGTGATTAGAGATTAAATCTACTCTTAATGGAAACCCTCTAGATTTTTTTTTCTACCCTTGTTGCCTGTATTCCTTTCTTTTTGACAACACTGGTGCTCAGAGCCTTCAAATCTACATCTAGTGCTTACTCTTCAGATCACTGAGTCACTGCAACTGGCTTTCAAAATAAAAAAGGATGAAAACCTGCCGTGGCCAGCTCTCGAAGACTGTGAATTAAGTCTCAGTGCTCGGGTAGCACATGCTTGTCAGCTCTCCATTATCTGCTCTACTCACTGTGTATTTTTCTCTCTCTTTTCAGTGATAGTGGTGCTGTTTGCTGCCCTGAAGCGTCAGAAGAAGAAAGAGCCTCTGATCATCTCCAAAGAGGACGTGAGGGACAATGTGGTCAGCTATAATGACGAAGGAGGCGGGGAGGAGGACACGCAGGCCTTCGATATCGGGGCGCTACGCCACCCAGAGGCCATGGAAGACAGCAACAAGCTGAGGCGAGACATCTTGCCCTCAGAGCCGCTGTACCCTCCGCCCCCTCTGCGGCGGGCCACCGCCGCGCCATCTCGGGACAACGCAGACGTACGGGACTTCATCAACCAGCGGGTGCAGGAGCATGACGGCAGCCCAACAGCGCCACCTTACGACTCGCTGGCCACCTACGCCTACGAGGGCAACGGCTCGGTGGCCGAATCTCTGAGCTCGCTGGGCTCAGCCTCATCTGATGGGGTGCAGGACTACAACTACCTCAGCGAGTGGGGGCCCCGATTCCGCAAATTAGCTGACATGTACGGGGGCGAGGAAAGCGACTGGGACTGCTAACAGACACCGCGCCGTCTGGACCCACGCAAACCAGCTGCCTCTGAGGTGAAGTACACAGCTGGAGTTATTTACGAAGTGCCCTTCTCCTTTCCACCCAGCTCCGTCCAGCAGACAGGCAAATACCCCATGGGGCCTGTTTGCTGACTGTTCTCTCTCTGCAAGGCAGATGCATTAAGACAGCACAGACGGAGCTGGAAATGACACGCAAGTCTACGCAGACTTTACTTCTGCATATTACTAACTCTTTGGAAGGAAGGTTATCAAGACGAGGCATATTTTCGGATTATCCCGGGTTTCTTTTTCGAAATATGTTTACGCTTCTTGGCCACATTGCTTTTCGTATCGCTGCAAAATGTACTTTCGGAAAATGCTCACTATCTGTTTCAGACTTCCTTCCCGAGATAAACTGCCATTTGCAGCGTATCAGCAGGAGCACTGAGCATCCGCATCACTTGAAAAGCTTTTTTTTTTGAAGCCAGCACTGTATGAACCACAAGCTGGAGAACCAGGACCAAAACCTTCTCACCAACTTCTCCATGAATGTGTTTGGAACTAATGCGAAAGCAACTCTCCACTAGGCTAGCGTGTGAAAGGCAGCTCGTTATAAAATGGTATCTTAACAGGTGTTAGCGAATGAGATCACTGTTTAGCTGTTTACCATCAAACCTGTGTATATTTTTTGACTTTTCTTCATGTATTACAAACCACATTAATCTGTTGCCGCGCTCAAAGCAGACTTAGTGCTTTAGGAAATTGAGGGGGGAAGTGTTTAATGATTGGCACGGGTTTTCATCATCCACTGGAAAAAATGCCAGAAGCTTCCAATTATCTACTCTGTCATAGGCACTAAATGTGGTTTACTTGGATTTATGCTGCATTTTGGCACACATTTGCCTGAACTTAGCACTACTCCACATTTGTATTTCCTCCCAAGAGAAACATATTTACAGTTACCTAATGACTTGTGCTAAACTAAACATTCCATACATTTACCTCCCAGTGCTTTCACTCTACGAACATATGTATGTGGAATGTGTCAACATCAGATGCAGAATGTTCAGCCAAAAAAAGGAAAAGAAAAAGTTTACAGACGAATATCAGTACATATTGTTTCAATTCAGTTCATTTACAAAACACAAGGTCAAAAGCTATAAGCTTTATTCACACCTCTGCTTTCTAATAATATCATTTCCCTCCGATGTTCTGCTTTTAAAAAGAAACTATCAGCAGCCTTTGTAAGTAATAAAAATACAGATGATTCATTCCCACAGTACATGCTAATCACAGCAGTCCGATGTTGAAGTATGACTAGGATGTTAAAATAAATCATCGCCTGCTATTTTGCCCTCTGTGCCAGCCACAAAATGAGTCTGGAATTGCATTCCCCGCCTCAGTTATCAAGGGGATGAAAAGAGGTTATTTTTAAAATATACATATGATTGAACTGGGCTCCAAGCAGTAGAAGGGCAGGTAGCAGGTAAATATTTGTGTTTTCGGTGCACGCAGCATACAGATTTCACAGCCAATAATATTCCCGTGCTTTGTCAGTGATATACTGTTTAAGAAGGAAAAAAAACGATGCTAACTGTTGTACAAACGTGGTTCTATGAAACAGTGCATTGTTGAAGTGATTTGGGAGAGTAGAAGATGTCCATGTACTACTTTGCTTTAAATCCTGTGATATTTTGTACCAAATATTTATATTACATGACTAATATTCTTGAAAAATGTACGTCCGATATTATCGTTTTAAATGTGGAGGTGTGAAACTTTCAAAGTAAACTCGTTGCAGTTTGTATGTTGTACAGATGGATGAGTTTCATTACAATAAATGTTCTCTTTTACAGAAAGCCTGAGATCAACAAGTTCATTTTTGATCGTTGATGATATATATTCGTACAAATTTTTCATTTTTTCTGATTCTGAAGTCAGGTTTCAGTGAAATTCTGGATATTTCATCTGTTAATATGTCTTCATTGTTTAGAGCTAGAATTATACAGTACTGTGCAAAAGTCAGAGCTCACCTTTGTTTCATTTCCAAAACCATTTAAAAAAGCAGAAAACGTATTTAATAGAAAGTTACACAGAAGCCTTAGCAGCTATGTATAGTATGACATTTCCCATATTTATAGCTTGCATTGTTTTCAGGAGACTTGCTTTCAGTTTTTTAATAACAATCTGCAGGAATATTTTTCCACATCTCCAAAGTTCAGTCGTAGAAGTTGGTCGCATTTTCTGCTTCTCACAATGCAAGTAATCCACACATTCAGTGATGTAGAGGTCTAGACCAGGGGTGTCAAACTCAACCACTGAAAGGGTCATATTTAAAAATCTCAGCAAATTTGTGGGCCAGCTGTGTTATTTAATTTTTACTTCACATTTTGCCATGACCCCAACTGGCCATTGTTTATACAAAAACTGCAACTGCAAAATAGACATTGTATACTTATTCAAGATAATTCTAAATAAAAGTAAATTATTTTAGGTAGTTTTTTAAAAACCTATTTGCTTGAACTACACACCAGGCGTCTTTTCTATTTGTGTCAGCCCCTAGATGGCTGTTGGGGAAAGGCGGGGTCAGTACACCCACTATGTTGCAGTGCATGCTGGGGACTGTAGTGCATCTCAGGGTGAAACAGGCTAATTAGAACAGAAAATTAAAATGATTTCGCAGGCTGAATAGGGCTGTGTCACTGGCCTGACTTGTCCCACAGGCCTTGTGGTTGACATGGGGTCTAGACAGTCCATTGATCTGAGAACACCAGCAGCTTCTGTTTTTTTTTTTGTCTGTTTTCTCAGTGAGGCTTTTTGACAGCTACACATCCTTTCAGACCCACAGTGCTGAGTCTTCTCGCAGCGGAAGGATGGACAGAAACACCTGTGGATGTTTTCAGATCTGAAGCATCTTGATTTTCATCTTTGATTTAGGATAAAATCAAGAGTTTCGGTGGTCCAACAGGTCTTTCGTGGTTGTTACGAGTCCAGTTTTCTCTGTATCTTTAAATTATTCTTTGAACTTCTGTGAACAACTCCTGTTTTTTTTTGTTTTTTTTTACTTATTTTGCTTTGGTGCAGGTGGATTGTCTGATATCTATCCTCCTAAGAAATATATCCTCAAAATAATGTCCATTTTGACTAGAAATTAAATAAATGAAGGATGGTCTCTGACTTTTGCACAGTACTGTATACTACATTGGTCAGACTCAGAATGGCCCTCAAACAAAAAAGGCCCCAAAAATCACAACCATAACAAATCCAGTCATTTTAGTTTGGGTGCATGCATAGCATGAACACCCCCCCCCCACACACACACACACACTTCACTCTGATAGGCTGCACCCAGATGCCAATTTCTGATCATTAACAGAAAGACAGCAAATGAGAGACCTTCAGAAAAGACCAATTTTTCAAAAATGTATTGAAATATTGAAATATTTGATAATAATCAATACATTATGTCATTAAAACCTTTGAAAACAGTGAAGCCACTTTTATGAAACCGGTCTGTGCTGAAACATTTGTTGGCTTGTCATGCATTGCTGGCTTGTCATGCATTTGCCAGCTGTATTTGTTATGAAAAGAATTGTTTATTAGTGATGTTTTTTCATCAACCTGTAGCAGCAACATAAATAAAAAGCTGAATAAATGTTATGCAATAGCTCAACTAAGCAATAATAGAAATAACACTAAAACATTTTTTTCATTCAGATATTAAATGAAACCTGTCTTAAAGCCAAATTCTTTTCTGCATAATTCAGCAGTTGAGATGTAAACAAAGTCACTCAGAATGGTTTCATAGCAAAAGGTCTGTTCTAGAGGAACTTATTACCTCTGATTTCCCTGCAGTGGTGGTGATAGGAACCTCCGTAGTGCCTACCACACAAATAAGGTCCTTTTATTTACTAGTAAAAATGACCAGTGAACCCACACATCGTCTGAGGTGTTATATGTAACGTTGATGATGGTAAAACAGAAGAAAAAGTATGTTTTCTTTGGGGACTATTTTGCCTTACCACACCCTGCATGTACCTCTCCACCTTGAATGCATTTTAAAAAGTATGTTTTAGGACAAAATCTTATTTCAAAACTATCATAAATCAATGTTGCAGGCAGCATATTTGTAACCATGTAAGGTAAAGACTTTCTCTTGAAGGAGTTTTCAAGGCATTAAACTTCTCAGACGTCTGGTTCCTATCACCACCACTGTGAACAATTCTGACTCAGTAAGTTTCTCTAATATGGAGTATTTCACATTAAACCACTGAGTGGCTTTGTTTACATCTTAACCATTTAGTTCTGCAGAAATATTGGAAAACCTGATTAATATTGCTGAGTTGCAGCCCTATTCAACATCACTACACCGGTAACACTTTCTATGAATGTCACCTTTGTAAGCATCTATAAACACATTTATAACATGTTTTAATGCATTCATATGACACTATAAACATAGCTATAAATATTTATAAAAATGAATTACACTGAATTACATTTTACAGCCATGTTTATTATACATTATGAATTGTTAATATAATGCATTATAAATAGTGTTAATAACATGTTATAATGTCAGTGCCAAAGAAGTCAGTCCCAGCTTGGAGAGTGTAAAGTAAAGACGAATACAAAGTTTATTTAAGATGAGATACTGAGATTTACTGAGATACTGAGAGATACTCTTTACTTAGAGCGGACATATACACCGGTAACACTTTCTAAGAATGTCACCTTTGTAAGCATCTATAAACACATTCATAACATGTTATAATGCATTCATAAGACATTATAAACATAGCTATAAATATTTATAAAAATGCATTATACGTTATAGCCATGTTTATTATGCATAATGAATTGTCAACATAAAACATTATAAGTACTGATCATAACAAATTATAAGAGCTCATAAGTCGTATTTGTCCACTCTAAATAAAGTGAAGTACACTGTACTAAAGCCTCCTCCAGTGTTAAGAGTGAGGCTTCAAGTTGAAGTATTTACTGAAGGATTTACTGAAACAGTAAAACATACACAGTAAAGCACATTACAGGCTTCAAATGTCAGAGTTTAAACTAGAGCTGCATCAGTGTTTTACCCAATGTGGGAAAGGTAATGTACACCACCGTTAGCTTGGTATTTGTCTTTACCTTACCCTCTCCAAGCTGGGACTGACTTCTTTGGCACTGACAGTATAACATGTTATTAACACTATTCATAATGTATTATATTAACAATTCATAATGTATAATAAACATGGCTATAAAGTGTAATTCAATGTAATTCTTTTTTATAAATATTTATAACCATGTTTATAATGCCTTATCAATACATTATAACATGTTATAAATATGTTTATAGATGCTTACAAAGGTGACATTCAGAGAAAGTGTTACCATGACCTCTTATCATTTGTTATGAATAGTGCTTATAATGCATTATGTTAACAATTCATAATGCATAATAAGCATGGCATTTATAGCCATGTTTATGATGCCTTATGAATGCATGATAACATGTTATGAATGTGTTTATAGATGCTTACAAACGTGACATTCATAGAAAGGGTTACCACTACACCCTTAATACTCAGTCAGTGTTAATTCAGTTAAAAAAGATAGAGTAACTGCAACAAGTTGCAGCAAGTTTTGTTCATTCGCACAAGCCCAGCTAATCAGACCAGTTTGCAAAGATGATTCATTTTCCTTCGGCCCTAACGCGATTTAAACAGTAAGCCGTGGTGTATCGCTCGAAACGGCTTAAATTTGCAAAGACTGTCTGCGTCAACCTGCTATCATTCCTCGATATGACTGAGACATGATTGCTGTGGCTTGATTTCCATGCTTGTGATTGGAAGTCCTGCCCTGGCTTGTGCCTGTCACAGGATGTCAGCTAATTAGGCCAATCTATAATTGAGATCTCAGGGCTTGCTACTGGATTTGAGGCATGGGGGAAAAGGGGATTCGGTTTTAAATTGATTGGGGATCAGCCATCACGAGGCAGATGGTGACATTTCACATGACGCCCGTTTTAACTCAATCACCCCGACACCCCGAGCACAGAGCAAATATGTGCGCTGGCGCTGTGGCCTCATCTGATCCCTCGCCTGGCTTTCTGTACAAATGCATTAAGGGCTTAATTTTAATGCATCCTGCCAGTGGACTGTTGAACTTGCACTCCATTGCGGCGCTCGGGGCCCTTGAACCCAAATGGCCTCCTTTTGAAAGCACAACAGTAACACAGAATAAAGTTTCACTAGAGTGCCCCTAGTGGTGACCACAAAATCCACTACCTGGACAAAAGTATGGGCACACCCCTCCTAATTACAATCAAGCACGTAGCCATACAATCTCTATAAACAAACAGTGGAAGTAGAGTGGGTCATACTGAAGAGCTCAATGACTTTGAAAGCAGCGCTGTCATAAGATGTCACCTTTGCCCTGCTAGATCTGCTCTGGTCAACTGTAAGTGCTGTGATTGTGAAATGGAAGCACCTAGAAGCAACAACTGCTCAGCCATGAAGTAGCCCACGCAAACTCAGAGCCCATCCTCATTACAAAGTTCCAAACTG